GAGCGGCTTACGGAGTAACCCTCGGGCTTAGCGCCAGCCTTGGGTAAGAGGTTTTCTGTTTTAATTAGAATTTAAACAATCCAATGCATTCAGGCGGCGGCCGGGGGCCGAGGGGGCCGGGGCCGGCGTGGCAGGGGCCCGCGCGTGGGGCAGGGCTGCGGTGCGACCTGGCAGCTTTGCCGTGAGATGCTGGGTGAGTCACTTCTCCCTGTGCCTCAGTTTCCCCATGAGCGGCGGTGACTCTGGCGGCGTGGCGTTGGGCATGGGCAGGCGGTTGTTGACGGTGCCGTCGGGCTGGTGACGGGACCAAAGTCCCTGCCAGGCACGAGGAGACGCAGAAACCCGGCAGTGCCGCCTCGCACAGCCGCAGCGCCAGTGCCGGCACCTCCCGGTGCAAGACCAGCTCCCACGGCTGCGTCCATCTCCCCACCAGGCTCTCCATCGCCGCCCACCCGTGCCGGACCCCACCACCGCCATGTTCAGCAAGAAGTCCTATGACGGCCCCGCCACGGGCTACGGGCCCCCCACCGGTGATTACGGCTACGACTACGGTGCCCGCTCGCCCCCGCCGGGCTCCTACTACATTGAGGACGTGCCGCAGCACTTCTACAAGTGGACCTCGCCGCCCGGCGTGGTGAGGATCCTGGAGGCCATTGTCATCCTGCTCTGCATCGCCATCTTCGCCTGCGTGGCCTCCACCCTCGCCTGGGAGTACACCTACGGCTTCGGGGGGCCGTACGGCAACGGACTGGGGGGCTTCTACGGCTCTGGCTACTATGGCGGCGGGTTGAGTTATGGCTACGGTTACGGGGGCTACTACGGCGGGGTCACCAACCCGCGGGCGGCCAACGGCTTCATGATCGCCATGGCCGTGTTCTGCTTCCTGGCCCAACTGGGGCTTTTCGTCGCCAGCGTCAGCAAATCGAGCAGCTCCCGCTCCCGTCGCTTCTACCTGGTGGTCATCGTGGTCAGCGCCGTGCTGGCCTTCGTCATGCTCATCGCCTCCATCGTCTACATCATAGGGGTCAACCCCCAGGCGCAGATGACGGGCAGTTACTACTACAACCCCTTGCTGACCATGTGCAGCCAGATGTACAGCAGCAACGCCTACCTGAACCTCTACCACTACTGCACCGTGGACCCCCAGGAGGTGAGGGTGCACCCCAGCTCCGGCCAGGCCCCCTCGCTTTGAGCCAAACCGGCGGCGCAGCCCCCGTGCTCTGCTTCACACGTGATGCTGAGCGAGGGCAGCGCGAGAGGGAGGGCACCAGCGACCACGTGTCCGTCTTTAATGTTTTTGGTGGTACCGGTCGCCGTTCCGTGGCTGCAGAGGGCAGGGGGTGGCTGCTGGTGCCGGATCCCAGCCCGGCTGTTTGCCAGGTTGAGCTGGGGCTGCGGGAGGAACCGGAGCGAGCTGGCTGCCTGCGCCAGGCGGTTTCGGGGAGGGGATGGGCTGTCGTCCCGGTGCAGAGCCGGTGTCTGGTACTTTGGTCTCTGGGGTCGTAAAAGTGTTTGAAGAAGGTTGGGGTAGAGGCAGGCTGTGCTTGGGGCTGAGGTGCCCGTATGGGTGCAGGGTCAGGGTGTCAGCTGGGTGCCAGCTCTCCCCAAGCACCCGTGATGCTGCCAGCCTGGCTCGGGAGCCCGGCAGGTCAGTGGGGCAGCGAGAACCTTCAAAACAAAGTCCATCGGCCCTGGTTTCGGCCGGGGCCGGCGGGGATCCTGCATGGTACATGGGCTGGGACTGGCGCTGCCGGTTCCCGGCCGGCCGGGCTGGCCGTGCCG